TGCACAAATGTGGACTTTATAGTGAAAATATTGTCAGTAAAAGTTGGAGTTTAATAACTGGAGCATGAAATTGATCTCAGTTCGTATACTAGCTGCACAAGAGGGGATTTTTAAAAGATAAAAGAAATGACATTAACCTCATTGAGTGACAAACATTCTTTAAAACGTTACTCACGTACATGTTTCAGAGCAGAACTGCAAAGTTAAACCCCAAAAATCCAACTTTTCCTTAAGAAGTTAATTTAGAACTGTAATTTCTTTTCCATTTGTTGCAGCTCTTTCAAAAGTATGCAACCAGTTTCACTCTGAATGCACATTTTCTGGTTGTTGTGATTCTGTTGGATGTAAACATCAGCACCAGTTTGACTCCATATCAGCGTTCTCATGTTGTGTAAACATCTGGATTCAGTAGCTATCATGGGCACTTTGGAGCCAATTTTCTGACACATTTAGGTTATAAAATCCTCTGTTCCACAATTCAACGTAACATCGGAGGCCACCACACTATTAACGTCGTCTTTTTGTTGGATTCGTTGCTGCTGTGAGCCTGATGCGTCCACATTAGTGAGCTGCAGTGATGCCACATGAGGTGTTGGTGCTGCATGTACACGACCTACAGACTCATTCAATTCAAATAACTTTATTTATCCTCTGAGTATTTAACATAAAGACATAAAAAAAACAACAATAAACCACATCATAAATATGACATTATATTACCTGGGCCTTGGCAGGCAGGGAGTCAGTGAGTCAAAGATTGTTGTGCATTGAGACGGAGGACAGCTCTGGGAGCTAAAGTTGCCCTCCTCCTTTGAGTCTTAAGTCTAAAACTTCTTCTATCTCTTATTTAAGTTTGTCTCTCGTTCTTCTACCGGCGGAGGAATGAACATGGGGGTCAGCCTGTCTGGATTTTGTTAAGATTCTCCACTAACGGAGCCGTCCAAGGCCTCAGCAGGATGTTTGTGACCGTCGTCCTCCTCAGATTTACACCTGCAGCCGACCAGATAAAGCCTCTCTGCAGGCTTCAGGGCCGAGCTGGAAAAAAACACACAAGATGACGAGGGTCAACTTTTCACTTACGAGCCCACAGTTAAGGATTGATACACCTCCTGTCTGGAGTCAAAGCTAGAGTTTAGAGTTTCCATCACAGAGCTTTGTGGACAGAAGAGTTCAGCTAAATGGGAAAAAACAGAAATATGTGAGTGGAGCTGAATGTTAAATAGAAAAAACACCGAGAGGCAACACTAAAGGTTTGTTTTAAGTGATGGATAAACCGTTAAACTAGATAAAAATAAGTTAAAATAGTCGTGGTCAGAAAGCTGCAGCTGATTCTGGAATGATGACAAAGGACGGGCGTTCTTAATGCAACATTTAGAGAATGTTTAGAGAACTTTATCCTGCCTTTAAGACAATTCTGAAAACTAAAAGAAAACTTTGCAGAACTCGCTCAGAATGTTTTCACAACAGTAAAAGATAAACAGCTGAAATAAATAAATGGCGTAAAATACACATGAATGATAATTGAAAGAATAAAAACTGATATATTGTTGAATTTGCTCACGCTAATGGATAAATAGCTCAATCAGGTAGCTAAAAGTTGTTCATAAATGGTTAAAATAGCTGCAAAATGATAGATAAACAGCTGAAATTGTCAGCTTAAGGTTATAAAAAGCTGTAAAATAGTGGTTGTAGTGTCTTGTGGTGGATAAATAATAGAAATAGATTTTAAAAACTGTAGATAAGCTGTTAAAACTGTTATCTGAAACTGTAAAGCAGTAGTTGTTGTGGCTCAGAGTGGTGGATAAATGGTTAAACTATCCAGAACTTATATATAAATAGGTGAAACTGTCAGATAAAAGTAAGAGGTAACAGGAAAGAAGTAGTCACAGTGGTGGGTGATGCGCCTTCAAAATAAAAGCACTCGAGTCGCATCCTCTGCTTTAAAGGGGCCAGATGGAAGCTTTTCATTGAGTTGAACAGCTCAGTTGGTTTTAAAGCTGTTGGAAAAGAGCTAAAACCAGGAGTATTGTAGGAGAAATGATCGATGCGGTGAGCTGGAACTTAAAACACAGAGTCTGAGGATGTTTTCTTAAGTTACTGAAAATATTTAATGGGCTGAGAAATGATTGCTTTGTGCTCACATTTGTTACTGAATACATCCTGTTGCTTTTAATTGGTCTCACTGGGACGTACCGTCACAGTCTGTCGTTAAAAACCCAACGATTGTCTTAAAGACCTGCATCATAAGCTCACATACATACAGCAATGGAAAGAAACACAAGTTCTCACAAACGTTTTCTAGCCTCAGAGAGCACATGATGTGTAAATGTGGGTTGAT